ATTTTGCTGAACACTTCTGTTGCAAAGAAAAAATATGAATGCTTTTACTAAAGTTGTATATTTACCATGGTATTAATAAACCACAGCTACTTTTCATTGAAGCTGTGTCAGAGAGGCGTTGACTGGTCTATTTTGAATCCATATTTTATGATGGTGTTGGTTTACTATATTGAGCTGCATCCTATTGAGGATCCACCCCCCTATGTCCTTTCTATCTGACTAATGGCTTTATCCTCCTCCATTTGACGTCTAGTCATCTGTCCCCATTTTTTAAAATTTGACCACATTTTATGATAGAAGAGTGTCCCTGCCTTCCATGTGAGGATAAAATCTATCAATTTAAATCCATTTCCATTTTCCAAGCAACCCAGTTAGTGGGCCAGTTTATTCCTGGTGGAAGTGAGCAGTGATTTGGGGCTGTCTGGTGATGATGATCAGGGCAGAAGCCCCAGTGCTCATTGACATAATCCGGTCCTGATAACGAGTAATAGGCTGGATATATAGTAATTACAGAAAGCCTGGGGGATTTCAGTGCTGCAGGGCTGTTTTGATGGAACCCTTTAACTTGAAACCATAAATGTAAAGCCTCCCTACATAAAGAATGCAGAAAATGATTTTGCTGGAGTTGACCTTTAGGTTTTCTAGTAAGTAACATTTAATTCCTATACAAGGTTACAAATTCCAAAGTCCCTTGAAATGCTTCTGATTTTGTTTCATCATCTTAAAATGACTAACTTCTAAGATGGATAAATTGTGTTCTCATAAATATAATTTTTTTTTAATTAACATTGGAATGTGGATTGTGTAATGTGAAAACCACAAGTGGCCAAAAAATACCAAGAAAGTCAATTGGCAAAGTAGCACGTTTGTGTGAGCTCGAGCTTTTTTTGTAGAATAATTACAATTTTACTTTCAGAGCCAAGAACTAAATGTATGTCAGGAACTGAACTCTCAACCTGTAGTTGTCAAGTCTAAGAGAAGCATCCAACCATGAACCATCCGCAACCCCGACACCTTCACTTTACTTCTCACTGAGTTATTTCTGTATCAGACTTGTCAGACTATCTAGTCATGTCTGCATTATGTAATCTCCTGACGGTGGGAAAATCTATTCCTTTCATTTTTCCTAAATGGAGCGCATAATTGCATCTTAAGAGATTCTCATTACGCTAAATTTCTTAAGAGCAGAATGGGGGGAAAAAATCATTACCAATCAGACATAACTCCTCGGGGTCATAAAATAAGGTAAAGAGACAAAGTTTGTCGGATGACTCACTGTGAGCCCACTACACAATTTACAAATATCTGTATTAATTATTTTAAAAGGTTATAACCTTCTTTTTAATGCAAATACAAAGCTTTATATAAGATGTTAAAAAAGTATCTGCCATGTAAAAAAGCTGATGTGGTGTACAACACAATATGATGCTTAATATATATTGCTCTAGCATCTTTGGGGCAATATAATGGCTGGTAATGCTTCACATGCCAGGTGGCTGGGTTTAAATTTTATGTTGCTGTGCTCCAGCCTCCTTGATGTTACACTGCTGCTGTAGCAAGGCTCCCCGGCAGGTTTTTAGTTTACGACTCCCCAAACTTACTTCTTCTGGCAACAGGCCTGGACAAATGTGGCAAGGGTTTTACTCTGCCACAGCAAAGAGAAACTTCACTGCACTGAGACTAACATGGCGTCTATGAGGGCTATTCAAATCAACTTAATTAGTTACCTGAGTACAACTTTGTCCAGACTCATCGTCATGAAATCAGCTTGGTATTGGCAGCTGCTCTTTCTCTTTAAAGTGCATATAGGTATTTTACTGAACATGCAATGATATGTATCAGAAAATAAATGAAACGCAATATTATAAAGGTCCAATCATTCATCCTTCTCAATTTCTGTCCCAAAGACGGCTCCTTCAAGCTGCTAAGAAGGCCAATCAAACAGGACATTTCATCTGGGTGGGTTCAGACAGCTGGGGCTCTAAAATCTCCCCAATTCTGAACCAGGAAGAAATGGCTGAGGGCGCCGTCACCATCCTCCCCAAACGACAATCCATCAAAGGTATTCATAACATGAGCCTGACTGACGGTTTGCTGATAATATCAGCTGATAAGAGCCTTTCACAGACATGTACCAAAAGGTATCAACTATTATTATACAGAATAAACAGAACAAAAAAAATTAACTGTTTGCAGTTTAGGGAAATGCATTTTCTTAATTCAAGTTCTATATGTTTAGTTGTATTTGCATTTATTTTAAAAATTGTCAGGCTTTATTCACAATATATTTCTTAACTTTACCTGAAATAATACTCACAACTATTTTTATTTGTTACTTTTTGTAAATTATAACTTGTCTTTGTGCTGTTCTACTAATTGTTATTTTACTGCATATTGTTTTATTCTACAAAAAGCTGACATTAAGTATATGTTTCAATGCAATGATATAATTACATATACCTCTAAGACTATATCAAAATTTGCAGAACCGCATTCTTTAATAACTTTATAATATCAAAGTCAGTCGAGTGAAATGCGATCACATTTACTTTCAAAGATCCAATAACAGATTGTTATGTTTCAATCACTGGTTCATGAAAAAAACTCGAGTGGAACCATCAGTAACATACTTAACATTTTGTTTAAAACAAAAACAACCTTTTTAGGTGATCACAAAATAACGTATTAAATTGTAACTGCATCTGTCACCAATTCTTTTCAGGTTTCGATCGCTATTTCATCAGCCGAACATTAGAGAACAACAGGAGGAATATCTGGTTTGCAGAGTTCTGGGAGAATAACTTCCAGTGCAAGCTTAGTCGACATGCAGCTAAGAAAGGATCTGGCATCAAAAAATGCACAAGTAAGTATACACTGAATGTGATGGAACAAAAAGCAAAGGCAAATCATTTGTCATCAGGGAGAAAACAATCACACTAATTTAGGATTAAATGTAATGGCTGATGTTCATGAAGGAATCAGCTTTTACACATTTTAAATCAGCTATCAGAAATTTGATGTGAAGTGATACCACACTTTTGATGACTTGTCTCTGCTGTTCACTAGCTGTGTTAGTCGCTGCCATTTTTCAAGTGTTTACTCCAGACAGGAGACGCCGTGGTCAAGTGAGCGACACGAGGCACAGGATCGGCTGGTTCACTGCCACCGCCTCAGGAGCCATATCTACAGTGTGTGCTGTATTAAAACAGACCCAACAAAATGATTACTGAATTAGTTGCCAACTATTTTTTTTATAATCAATTATAATCAATTAAATCAATTACTAGTTGCAGCCCTAATGTTCCCATTATTTGTCTGTTGATTGCTTCAATTTGCAGTTAATGACAACAGCATTCAAAAACGGAGCCACGACATGCGTTGAAAACATAATCAATAGTGAATTCAATCTGCACATTCGAAACAAGCTTTAAGGTCATTAAAATCAGTCGTCTCCCAAGGTCTGTCTGCCACCCAACACGGCAGAGCAACGCTGCATGTCAAGTAGTCCTGATTTAAAGCCTGTGACTGTAAAGTATCCAGGGTAAGCATTCCTCATATATCTGTGTTATGGATGTTATGGAATACAAACATCAGCACGTGTCATTCATTTATCTGAAACTGCCCATGTTAGAGTCTAGTCCACAAAGACTGAGACTTACAAAACACATTTTCATGTCCATTATTAGAAACAGATATCTTATGCGGGACACTTTCAGAGAGGGTTGATCATGTATTATTCTATCCTCTGGGTTCCTGATCTAGTGGATATAGATGAAATGTCAACAAATACCATCAGAGAAACACTAAATTGGTTAAATGGATAAACAGGCAAAGCTGACCAATTAAGCAGAGATTAATTGTCAACTGTCTTCTCAACAATGTGTCCCTTGGTAGAACAGAGAGATGTTTGCAACAATCAACACGTAATCCTGAGTGATTTCTGCATCTATCAGTTGTCATGGAGGCTGCTCTTGAGCTAAATTGCTGCAGCCCCTCCAGGGCACAGTAAATCTTTACAGGCATGAGATGCTAACATATCACTCAGAGCTCACTGGAAGACTGCGACTATCCTCCCATTATTCCTCACACAAGCAAAATCATTTCCTGTCGCCACGTATGGTCTTTGCTTATCACAATACCACTATATAGACCATGTATAGTGTAGCGGGAAGTCTTCTAAGGAAAACTAATCAACCACTATGGACTGTGGATTGATATTCTTGAAGTACCAACATGATGAGATGGGCATGTCATTTTTTTGTTTGTGTGATATCAAAGCTTTTAATCGCACAATACAAGTCACTGGCAACTGATTTATGTGCCATTACAGCCAGGTAGTAACAGTTCATCTTCAAGGACTGCGATATTAAAGCATATCTGACTGAGCAAGAAAAACAACGCTGAGTGCAGATGTATAATTCACATCCTATTCCTGCATCCTTTCCCAGTGTTGTTGTGTTTGCTGCCCTAGAGCTCCAGGTTGACTTTGTTGTTTCAGAATGACATCGTCCTACCAGACTCTCATGTCACTTTCGTACTCTGTATCGATATTCCCAGAGTGTAGCAAAAACAGAATGAGCACCAGGTCATAACATACTTTAATTCTGTACACACACATATATATATATATGCATCAATTAGAAGTCCTCTCTTGGGTCAGGTTTATTTGTTTGCAGGTGGGACACCTTAAAATGTGACACAGCAGTGCTCAGGCTGCTATAAATAACTTACAGAAACATTGCGTGCAGTAGGTGTTGTGTTATAAGTAATGCTAGGCTGATATCCACCCCTCCTTCACCTCTCTCTCACAGAGCCACACACACACACACACAAACACAGTGCAGGTACTCTTCTGTGCTGGTTGTCAATAATTCGCTGCATTACCCAAAAAATAAAGTAGCCTGCACAGATCTATGCACCAAGACTATAATTTGTAACAAGCCTGGCTTGTTTACACTTATCAGCAGCTTCATCATCGGTTTGGTCAATATCTGTGTTTTACTGTTTGATAAGGTTTCCTAGAGTTTTTAACTCTAAATGGTATACATTGCCTTTGTTAATGCATCAACAAAAAAATCTAAACTTTGTCAGACTTTGCTGTGAATATTGATGAAATTTACTTTATTAGAGAATAAATTATATTTAAAAACAGGGGTAGTGGGTCAGGTCAGGTTTGGCTTGTAGATTAAGGCATATTTTTGGGGTCGAGCAGTATGGGTAGAACAAGTGGGTGAGTGCGGGTAATAAAAAATTTTGACCTGGGCATCAGTCCTGAGTTTGATTTCCAGCCTGGTAGGAACTGCAGGAAAACCAGGATATTTATGAGGATAGATGGACACAAATCTAGTACCGAGCCAGCCAGGAGACAAAATGTAACTCATGCTGATGTGGCAGTGCTGCAGAGCTGTGAGTGAGCAGGTAACTACTGACAATGAACTATGACAAAATCAGCTCTAAGAAAGATTTAACAAGTAAGAGAACAAGTAAGACAAAAAACGTGACATACAATGTTAGACGATCACGATAAATCTATGTGTGGTGTGGTCTTGCGTGTAAAATGAAACTGAGGCCTGTATAAACCATTGCCATGGATTTTTTACAGCAGAAATTCCAGGTTACAGGGACTGATATAACATACAAGGTCTTTTAGAAGGTTTAAGAGTCGTGAGGAAAACTAGTTATAAGAAAGATGTTGCACATTATCATGAAATTCTCCTCATCAGAGTTTCAAATTTTCCCTTTGTATGACTAATAAAGCTATCTTATCTTATATCAGAAGTGAACAGAGCTGACATCAGTCCCAATTATTTTGGATGTTGTCCCACAAGAGCATGACAGAGCTTTAATATTCTTTTCCAAATTATTTCCAAAAGCATCATTTCGATTTGCCTCCTAAAATATGAAACATAACAGGGAATAGAATACTGACAAGAGGATTTGACAACAGTCATTTCATGCAGTATTTACTAGAATTTTCTGTCTTCCTGCACCGTTGGCAAAGATCCCCAGCAGACGTGATGCTTCTTGTTGACGTCACTCCAGCACACGTTGAGGCTCGGTTTGAGTGAAGCAAACCGGCTTGAGTCACTCCATTGCTTTGCATCTCTGCAGACATGAGTCATCAAGGCTACCACAAATACATGCCTGCTCAATTGTCTGAAGCCCACTGTTCACTGAAAACATCAAGGACATCACGTGCAATTAAGCAGTGTTCGACAGCTCTTTTATTCCCTCGAGATAAAATGCAAATGAAAAGAACAAAAGGATGTTTTCTCCACTGGGCAGAAATTGTTATTGACCTGCAGTGACCTCAGTTTCTTACCTAGACGTATCTACAAGTTTCCTTTAGCGAATTCCTCTGTAAAGTCAGTTACAGCAAGAAAAACTGAATTGTTTTCAAGAGCTCGCAGCTGCAACGATGGGTGTACTTCATCTGACTGACCGTGTCTTTGGAAGCAATGATGACAGGCAATGTCAAGCACTGTGGTCTATTCCTGTCTCCCGAGTTATAATGTTCAAACGTATTCATTGGATTAAGACAATGGGAGGAGTTTGCAATGGTTGTCAGCCAAGGTTCCTCAAGCCACTCACCAGGGCCATAATAGGAGATCATTTTAAGTGTTATTTTACAAACATTACATTACTGTATGTTTTCTGATATATTTTCACAAGATACAAAGAGTTTGTTTGCTGATATGTACCACAATGACAACATTTATTTTACAGAATAAACAATTGGTAAAAGATATGCATTAACATTTGCAGTTTGCATAAATTTTTTGTTCTTAATCAAAATACATATATGAAAACTTTACTCCCTCAAATAAGTATCAGCCCCTGACAAACCAGATGGAAGAGTCAGATCAGATGGGCTCTATGTGAAAGCTTTTTTTTTTCTTTTTGCACAGAAATATGGGCAACATTAAGAATTCACATATTGGGGTAACATGAAAACCCTTGTGAATATTGAAAGCTGAACGGTTTTTTTTCACTTTGACGTAAACCTATTGTGAACACTGCATCATGCATATTCTAAAATGTGGGTCAACTTCTGTTAGAATGAATTATGGCTAATCCAGACTAAAAGAACAATCCAGTGTGCTCTATCATCAAAGCACATTATTGGGCAGGTAACCTATAATTGTTACCGTAAAAAGAGAAGTCACAGTTCGCTCGAATCTTAAAATTAATTTTTTGCACCTCTGTATCTTGAATGAAAAGGAAGGCAAAATGAAACAATTTTGCTCCATTCAAAGGAATATTGGGCACAAGAACATACAGCCTTGTGGATCACTGCATTCTTTCAGAATCACAAGGTTGCCTTGATGAAAGCTCCTAGAGTACTGATAAATAGGTACAGTGGCAAGGTTTCATCTTCATTCACTTCAATGCTCGTTTTCACTGTTGACTAACCTTCCTGCAGGATCCAATTACTGTGCTTTTGCTATTGCTCAGCCAATGAAGCCAGGTAGGGGATAAAGTCTTTAAACATACAGTATGTATAAGGGAGAATGTTGGAGTGGCCATCAGAAACAAGTTATGTTAGCCTCCGTTTCACCCAGCATTTTATGAGAAACAGGGAAAGTACAGTTACAACGTTTTATGCCTCTGCCAGTCATACAAAACAAAAAATGGTCACAGTCTCCCCATTTGGTAAATAATGGCCAGAAAAGTGTTTTTGCAGAACATTAGAGAGGTCAGAGAGAAGCTGACCTAAAATATTATCACTTCAACGTTTTCTCATTAAATAAAATGTGTCAGTGCTGAAAGGGTTGGGAACCATTAGTCTGATCTGCAGGAGTTGCAGGATTTTGACGAAGTGGGGAAACTGGAGCTTTAAAGGAAACCTGCATCTTTACAGACCTTCTGACTGGCAGCCCACTGAGCTATCATCATTTCATTAATTAGAATGTGTGCACAAAATAGATAAAAAAAGACAGCAGACTATCTATTCAAGCTTTGTCTGTAGCACACATTTGTAGAATAACTGTCAATATTGAAGCTCTTTAAATCATCCAGAGGCTTGTCACTGATGTTGAATGGCTTCTTAGAAGTGAGCAAATACTGGGGAGCACATACAGTAGATAACAACAACACGAAAGCAGTTCATCTGTTTAAAGCTAACACTTGTTAAAACCTAGTATCTCAATCCAGATAAGAAATTCCTCCCATGGACATCTTACAAAACACTATTCTCCTTTATCAACTACACTATGTTGTGTTTTTTGTTATCTGATCTTGACGCACCCTGCACTGCCTTGTCTTGTGCTTCTCTTGACACAAACTTAAGAAACAAAAAAAGGGCAACCTTTTTTTGAGAAACATGGCTGTTAAGCATGTAAAGTCCTCAGATAGTCTACAGCTCTCTTGACGACAATAAGCACATCATTTAAATTATACATTTCTGTACTTATTAGCAATATCAAAGCAAAAACTGCTCTTAAGTTATTAAAAAAAACAGTGTTAGCCATTCTCCACCTTCTGTCCGGTCACTGAACAGTTTGACCATCTGGCTTCTTGACCTCATGCCCTCTCCTTTCTTATGACGTCCCACCCCCTTCAGACACAAATCATTACAGTATATTTTGTATGGCTGCTTACCTCCAGTTTAAAACTACCTGCTATCAACCCCAGTCCTAAAAGAAAACCCTGCTGATCTGGAGAAACTAAACATTAACACTACAACCTTCTATCTCCCATTTACTGCCAATTCAAAACGACTTGGCATCATGGGCAGCTAAATGTCTTGATTCAAATCTGATCTCATAACAACACAACTCTTCATTAGCACCACACACTCTGACACACTCACCACCACATCAGACAGACCTACAGTCACCTGAAACTTGACCAGGCTAATAGCTTCACTTCCATGTTAGTATTAAATTACATTTCTTTGGAGGAGTTCTTTGATTTGCTCTGTAATTCACATGCCTTTAGAACCTGAAGTGAATCAAAACACTTTCTTGTCACATTTAAGGCAATGCCAATGCAGACCACTAATTCCAGATTGTAAGTCTCAATCTTCAATCTTTTTTTCATTGAAAAAGGGAAATTAGCAGCACACGAGAATGAAAGAATGGCGGTGTTCAAATGGGTTATAAATAAAAGATGCTTGAAGCAGCGAGCATGTGGAGTGTCTGTGTTTACTAAAGCCTCTTCATTGCAGCTGTTCCATCACTGAAGTTTGTGATAGAACAAAGTCAAA